GGGGGGGGGAGGGAAAGCTGCTGCTGCAGCAGTAAATGACCAGCACAGGAAAGGACAAGCAAATCAGATCATTTACTGAATACCTTTAGTTACTTGGATTTATTTATAGAAGAGAATTAAACTGTAGGGAAACACACACGTACACTTGTGCACACACATAAGAAATAGGTACATGATAAGGGTATTTGATTTCATTTTTCTTAATTTTGTTGTTTAATTGCAAAAACAACACTTTAAATTAGAAAAAATATAAGCAGAAATTTGGTGAAGGACATGAGCAGATAAGTCACACACCCCAAAGAAACACAAATGGCTAATAAGTACATCCAAGATCTGGTTGCAGGTAGGGGCATGGTGGGCCCTCAGTTCTGGTCTCAGGACCCCCAGGCTCTGGGCTGGCTCCCGTTGCTTGCCTAGATGTGGGTGGGGCCAATTGCCATTTCAGATCAATGGAAAAAAGATTTTTCAACAAATGGTATCGAAATAACTGGTGTAGGGGTCAAAGGAATACTTCTTCACTCCTAAAAGTTCATTAATAAAAATCAGCGAAAAATTTAGATCAATATTTATTAGCCCTCGCAGTCAACATAAGCACAGCCACATTGACTACTCCCTCACCCTGTCCCCCTACCCCTTCCCTTTACCTCAAGGCCAGTGTGTTCTGATAAGAACATCCGGTACAAAACAGGATCTTGTAAAAAATGGAAAAAACCACGAAGCCATTAGTGCTCAGAATAGCTGCCTAACCCCTTCTCAGAACTTAGGCTGTTCCACCTAACCCCCTGCTTCCCAAGTTCAAACCCTATAAGGCCTCTGCTAGGCTGTACTGGGGCAGAATACTGATCTTTCAGTTTCCTCTCCAGGTTTGCTGGAGTAAACTCCTTTGCATAAAAATGTTTTGCTTGGAGTCCTTTATTTTCTTTGTCTTGTCGACCTAACAATATGGAGAAAAGCATAATAAATTTTATTATTTAACATGCTGGGAGAAAGCAAAGCACAGGGAAATTACAAGAGAGTAATGCCCCAAATGTCCCATAGGGGTACAAAGTTTATATATGGTTACTCTG